GGGACACACACCTTCCAAAAAGTTCAACTTTTGTCTCATCAGTCCACAGAATATTTGCCCAAAAGTCTTGGGGATAATCAAGATATTTTTTAGCAAATGTGAGACACGCTTTTGTGTTCTTTTTGGTCAGCAATGGCTTTTGCCTTGTAACTCTCCCATGAATGCCATTTTTGCCCAGTCTCATCTTATTGTTGAATCATGAACACTCGGGGTGGGGGAAAAAAATTGATTCTTAGATGCATCGCGATGCAAACGTGGACGATTCTGAATCGATTCACAAATGTCATGAATCGATTTTCTATTTCTGAATGTTAATTGATAACGTGATGTTGACCGAACGCAAAAGGCGGAACTCTAACCCCTTATTTACACTGCATGCGTCTGCGGAGCGTTATGGATCCGACAAGGTTTTGTTCCGTTCTGTATGCATTGCCAACTCACACCGTTGCCAACTCACAGTGTTAAGGCCCTTTCACACGGGACGTGGCAAGCGGTGGAATCGCTGCGCGGCTGCCGCTTTCTCTCGTAGTGAAAGTGTTTTGTGCAGTTGCAGGCAGTGCTTCAGAAACGTGCTGCGGCGCGGATGGTGTAAACACAAGCATTGACTAGAGTGGCTGCGATCAGCTCCGATGGCCGCGTCGGAGCCATAACGTGCCGCAGAAGCGTGCAGTAAAGGTTTAACAGATGCATGATGGTGGCGCGTGAAATCAGACTGGCACCGTCTGCGTTAAAAGCTAGGGTATGGAAGCACTTTGGCTTCTGGCTGGAGGGGAAAGACCCTGGACAAGAGGCACACTATATGCAAGTTGTCAAGCCAAACTAAAATATTGTGGAAACACAACAAATATGAGAAACCATATTACAGAATATGCTTAAGTCTGTATTAATTTACTACAAGTATGCTGCTACAGGCACATGTTTCATTTCCCATTGGTTCTTTGTAACCTTGTTGTTGACTTGCCAAATCACTTCCATTTGTTTCATTAATAAAATCTTGGAAGTAAATTCATTATGGGTCATTCCAGATACTCTGCTTTAATAGTCAGACAGTGAGGAAAAAGAAAATCTGTATTAAAACAAAAGATGCATCGATAATTGTTTTATCATAGCATCGCAACCCTCTGAGTCGTAATTGAATCGAATCGAATCGTGATGTGCAGTGTTAATTTTGACAGCCATTTTTGATTTAGTCTTAGTCTTTATCTTGAGACGAAAATGCTTAATAGTCTTAGTCACATTTTAGTCATTTGAGTCTTTCATAGTTTTAGTCTAGTTTTAGTCGACGAAAAGTCATTGCATTTTTGTCAACTTTTAGTCAAACTGCAGTTACCAACATTTATTTTGGTAGCTATTTTATATGTAGTCTTCAAACAAAAATAGTCATTAATTCTTCTCTTTTATATACGAAAGAGATACGGATAACTTAACATATTACTTAACATATTTATTTAACATCTTTTGTTGGTTAACATTAATGACACGGATAGGTATACATACATACAATATATGTGTAATTTTTTTTTATGTGTGTGTATGTTAATGAAACGACAACTGAGGTGATTTTATATGATTGTTTATATGATCAGATTTTTTGTGAATAAATTAATATTTCTTTTATTCAACAAGGATGCAATAAATTGCTCAAAAATGAGAGTAACATTGCTACAAACATTTTTTTTTTTAAATTCTTTTGAACTTTCTTTTAATCAAATAATCTTGGAGGGAAAAATTATTTCTGGATCATGTGACACTGAGGACTGGAGTAATGGCTGCTGAAAAGTCAGCTTTGCCCTCACAGGAATACAATACATTTTAAAATATATTCAAAATAGAAAACAGTTACTTTAAATTATATTTCACTAAATTACTGTTTTTACTGAATTTTTGTGCAAACCCCAAACTTTTGAACAGTATTTTGAAAGTTGTTAGTGTGAGTGAAGGTATAGAACCTTTTCTTTGTTCAGTCATCAAATGTAACCGTCAAGTAGTGATTGGTAAGCAATAGCAGTAATGAAAGAAACTGTCAGTGTGGTATTAAATTCTGTAAATAGTAAGCAGTGCAGTTGATATAAGAAGATTTTATGCTCTGCAGCCACAAAAAGGCTGAGACGTCAAGTATCAGTAACACTATGCTGTTCCCATTACAGTAACAGGAATAGGTGGACTTTGTAACAGCTGTGTTTGCAGTTCTTCCTTAGGTGTAGTGTGTGATAGTGCTATTTGCAGTTTCCTCGCTGAGAGGCTTCCCTCAGGATAAATGTCTAGTTCTGACTCAAAAAAATTTCAGTTATGTATCATATTTAGATGTGAAATACTGAAGTTTAAAATAAATAGAAAATGTAAATAAAAGGCCATAAAGGGCAAAAATGCAGCAGGTCGCCTAATTAGAGACTTCACATGTTAACAGTATCATTTTAAAATGTACACTAAGAGCATTGTGTTGCTTTGGTTTTCAAGAAACGTTTGATTTTTCCTACCCAGATTATCCTCATAAATACGGAGCAGAAGGAGGCTGTGCAGATCACACTGTTTTTGAGCGAATGAAGAAATACCAGGCATCTGCAGTGGAGGAGCCCACCCAGGTCAGCACCAACACCCCTTCACACAACTCAGCTGAACACCACCGATATCACCAACTAGCACCGTGTTTCTGATCTCACAATGCAAACAAACATGGAAACCCCACCACACCGAGAGATCTGGAACATTTCCTGTTTCCCATGATTCTGAAGTTCAGATTTCAATTTGAAACCTTGCCTGAACACATCCGTACTTCATCTGATATAAATTAGATATAGATTATCAATGATGAGAAATGCATTCGTTTATTATAAATAATTAGAAATTATTTTGTGCTCAAACATAAAAAAATGTTTCTTCTCAGCCTCTTCAGTTAGGTTTTTATTAGGGATGCACCGATACTGGTATCGGTATCGGGCCCGATACTGAGCTCCTGTACTCGTACTCGTTAAAATGCCCCGATACCAAACGCCGATACCAAACAGCAGGTGATAAGTGCCATATTTAGACAATGAAACACCAACAACAGACAGCAGAATGGAGTTATTAGAGATTAAGGATGTCTACGAAGTATATGTATGCAATGAATATAATATTAAGTACCAAAAATAAAAGTATCGTATCGGGCGAGTACTGGAAAAAGTGGTATCGGTGCATCCCTAGTTTTTATATGTCTTGCTGTTTTCTCTGCAGCAGAAGAACCACGTCCTTGACGAAGAGATGGCTGATGGACCGGTGATCCTGAGGAAACGTCGTGCAGCACAGGTAGAGAGAAATACCTGTCAGCTCTTCATTCAGACGGATCACCTCTTTTTCAAATACTACGGCACCAGGGAGGCTGTGATCGCACAGGTACACCTAAAGCACAGGTGACTTAGTGGTATATAGTGCATGCAGCTTTTTATATTGTACGTTTATAGGCTTGTTCTTTTGGGTTGTGCAGATTTCCAGTCATGTAAAGGCCATTGACTCCATCTATCAAAGCACAGATTTTCAGGGCATTCGCAATATCAGCTTCATGGTGAAGAGAATTAAGGTGAGTGTGTTTCTCCCTTTCTTCAGTCTTACTATTAATTATATGTATGTCGTTCCCTGTTGGAAGTGAAATATGGATTAAGAGTATTTTGTAGTTACTGATGCTAATGTAAATATGTCTGGTATATAAACAGGATATTCTTCTTCCTATCCACCATGATTTGCTGGCTAGAATACAAGTCCTTCTCGACTGACTGGCTCATGTTGTTACGCTGAGGGGTTACAGATCTTGCCCAGTATTGACCAGATGTCAATAAAAGCATGTCAGACCATGTACTGCAGCTCTTTTGAAGACTAGTACAGTTCACTTTTTAGTCCCAGACTACGGCTCTACAGTTGATTTTTTTGGCTACTTAAGGGTCCGTTCACACAGAATGTTTTAACCTCCTGAGACCCTGTGACCTCATATGAGGACATTATATTTTGGTGTATTTCTCTGAGACTATACATGCCACAGTTTTAAGTCTGGATGTCCTGTACAAAGCACATTCAGGGCTTTTCAGAGATACTAAATGTTTGGATGTTTCACCATGACCACTCCCTCTCCTTGGTCTTCAAATATGTCTGATATTAATTTAGTGACACTCTTATGGAAATATGATAATATTTTGTAATTATCATTTAAATCTCTTTTTTTTTCCTAAAAATCTTTTCTCGGGTCTTAAGAGGTTAAAAGAGGTTTTGGACAAAAGTGTTTAGTGCACAAAAACAGACAAACTTGTTTTAACTGTTTTAACACGACACTCTTACGTGAGATGGTGGGAAAAAAAATCAGTGACGTCTTTCTAAGAATGTAGACAAGATGTTCGATCTATCCTGTATCTCATGTAGACTAAACATCAACTGCAGACTGTCATTTGTATTAAACTGAAGTTGGTTTGCGTCTTCGTTTCAGATCAACACTACTGATGATGAGAGCGATCGTACGAACCCTTTTCGATTTCCCAACATCGGTGTGGAGAAATTTCTAGAACTCAACTCAGAGCAGAATCACGATGACTACTGCCTAGCCTACGTCTTCACAGATAGAGACTTTGACGATGGAGTCCTGGGTCTGGCCTGGGTCGGGGCTCCTTCAGGTACGATCAGAGATGCACATAAAAAGTCTCCCCAGTTTTATCTCCTGAGAGGTTTTCTGTGTGTGCTAGTGACCTAAAGTAGTGTCTGCTGAACTGAAATGAAATCAGCATACATGTAGGGATATGCCGGTATCAAATTCTCATGTTGCGATTAATTGCTAATGCTTTTATCACGGTATTCGGTATTATCACGCAATATCGTGCATATTCATTAAGGTAATATATCGCATTACCGAATACAGGCACAAGTCTACATACATGTCAGGGGGCGAGGCAGGGCTGAAGACCTGCGATGCGAATCAGATGTGAAACTGCATTTGAAAATCCAAATAAATAAAGTATTATAATTAATAGTAATAATACATTTGTTTAAAAGTAATAAGCATGTAAATAATTTTAATTCTGTATTCATCTGTATTCATTATATTGAACTTCTTATGAACATAACAGAAGTCTAAGAAATGTCCTTATTTAGATAGATGTGTTTAAATAGCATTGATTCTATTTTGTTCTGTTCTACGGAGCCCGGGAAGTCACCTGTAGGGGAAAAAAAATCAATCCGTGGCGACGGTTTTGCAATTCGTCCCCTCAGTTTATAAACCGTATTCACAAATTCTTAAACGGTTCCCTCAGTTTAACAAATCGTGCCCACGGATTAATAAACCATACCCACGAATTTTCAATCCGTGCACTCAGATTTTGTAAACCGTACCTTCGGATTTTTAATCCGTACCCACAAATTCATAATCCGTGCGCATGCTTTTGCAATCCGTTCCCAGGGGTTTGTAAAACTGTACTCACGGATTTGTAGCCCCGCCCCCAGTCTGTGCCGGCAGATTCAACCAGGCCAATTGTTTAAACTTTATTTTTCAAAATGGAGAATTTCGTGAATGTTCTAAAAAAACGATAGAGAGTTGGATGTATTCAAGATGCAGTCAATAGTATGTCAGATGAGCAACTACTGACATACGTCCCCAGATTTGGAGACCGGATTGCAATAAGACAGTACTGCAGAAGAGAAGTAGCTGCATTAGGAAATACCATAGTATTGGATGGAAGCATAAAGGTAGACAGAGAGAGTCATTGGGAAGTATTCTGTACAATGTATTTAAGCCCTACACTAAATGGTCTAATTTTGGGGGGAAAATGCTTAGTAGGCCTATAATAAAATCACCAAAACAAGTCTTCATGTTAAGAATGAATAGTGCACAAATTTCCAAAACTGTAAAAGGTTATTTAAAAATAAAGCATTCATGACTTATTTTATGATAAACATATTACTGTCTTATGCCTCATTTATAGTTATAAATTAATAATAATAATAATTATTATTATTATTATTAAGCTATTGTTAATATTACATTTACATATGCATTTAGAAAAAGCTTTTATCCAAAACGACTTACAAAAGAGGAACAAAGCAGTAAAAAGTCAGTCGTAATACACAAGGCCAGGTTTATTAGACAATAATAATAAAGTGCTAATATTATCACAAATAAACAGAAGATTTTTGATGCACATCATTCTTATTAAATCGTATTCCACCTCGTGCATGCTACAATTGAAAGAGAATCGCTGTGAGCATGCAGTTAAGACAATTTAATGTATTCCACTTAATAATACACAATAAAACCATATACAATAAGATTTGTTCTTCTAAAATGAGTCCGTGAGTACAGTTTACAAACCTGTGGGAACGGATTGCGAAAGCGTGCGCACGGATTATGAAATCAATTCATGCATTTTGCATTTTCATATTCTGCATTTTCTGAGATGTTATTTTTTTATTACTTTTGTAGTAGTTATCTAAACTGTGTTAGTCTCAATGTAAAGAGAAGTTAGACAAGGACAGCACTGCATCCATGCTTTGCATACAGAATAGGACTGTAAAGCTGAGTACTGCTTGCCTTTCAGCTCCGCTTGATAAAAACCCTTTTAGTGTTTTCACATATTTGCCTTTCTTTAACACAAACATACACACCTTGAAAGCGAGATTCTTTTCATCACTTTTAGTGCATGTTTGTTTCTATTAATGTATTCATGTTGCTAGGCAGGTGTGCATCTCTCTCACCTCTTTGACATATTCAGAATGTGAGATCACTTTGAGGATTTCAGTTCACTTTTCTGCCTGCTGCTCAGACATTCACTAACACACAGATACACAGCTTGTTGCATAAACAGTTCTGCTTAATTTATTTAAAAATACAGTTTTTTGTATTGATTTTTATTAACTCAAGTTTATGAGCATTTATGTTGTCTTGTTTAATGTATGAAGGCTTGTTAAGATGCTTAACCTATTGTAAAGCAGTTGAGTCCTCATTAGGGCAATTGTGTTTTTGCACCAGATGGAACTGGATGCTTATGCATATTTCAGTTTTTAGTTATGATATGAATATTTTTGAGCATAAAACAAGCTCATATCTACATAATGACTTTTGAATGTCACTTTAAATAATGTCTGTATTTCAACGAAAAGTAAGAATTAAGTCTTTGATGGAACAGTCTTTCTCTTTGCACTCAAAATAAAGACCTTTCTGGAACATAACTACATTTATGATAAATAAGTCCTGAGACTTAAACACTGTTCTTGAGGAGGAAACACACACAGACACATACCCACAAACATTCTGTCAATCAATAAAGGTAAATTAGCATTGTTAAAGTCTGCTGCTTTGGTTCCGCTCCGGCTAGTCACTAGGGACAGCAGCAATTGCTGTCTTTGTGAACCACTGAGCTGAGTGAACAAACGAATCAGCCTACATGTTTGTGTTTGTGTGCAAGTGTCTTTGTATCATCAGGCAAGGAACATAACAGAAAATTAATTCAAACATGCTTACAATTTAATGCTGATAAATTGTGCTCATAGTGCTGATGTAATAATCTGTGATAATACTGATTTGAATGGCTGAATTACAAGTTCAGTCTTTTTCCTTCCAGTGTGGACATTCAAAACAGTAGTGTGAGATGACAAATTTCAAACTCTAAACCATTGGAATAAAGATTCTTAGAGATGTGTAGCCCACCTTGCTTGTGAGTTGTAAAACTGAAGTTTTGTTATTTTGCCAGTACACTTAATTAGTTTTCTTTAGTCTAATTTGAGCAGAAGGTGTGTGGGAGTATTATCACACACAACCATTTTACAGGTACTAGTGTTCTGATGGCAGAGTGGCGTGTGTCTTTGCCCTCTGTCTATGTGTACGCAACGCCGGTTGTTTTTATTCAGTGATATTTGCTTCTTTTGTGGGCGTCTGAGCCACAGCTACAGTGAGATCACTTCATTTCTACACTTGTCAGTGTTGAGTGATTAATCAAGTTTAAACACCAGGGTCACCAAACAGTTTTTGCACACATTCCCCCGTCCCAATCTTCCATTGGTTGGACAAAGAGATGGTCTTGACTCTTGACTCGACCCCAAATCATTGGTAAAGCCAGTGTTGCTGTGTCAGCATGGTTGGGACAATCAAACAAACAGCAGGTTGAAAGGGCCAAAATATTTATACTATTGGGAGAATTAATGTGGAGTCTGCAAATAAAATTTGAAGGAGAAGTAAAAGAAAATAATAATTAATACACTTATTACATTCACTTGGATGTTTGTAGAAATGTTTATGAGTAGAGCAAAATAATGTATACAAAATTGTTTTTATGGCTCTTTTAATTGCTTTATGATTTCACCACTTAAGGATTATGATGATAATGATACCATCACATAGAGATTTTATGTAATTTAGGATTTATTTTATTTATCGTTTAATTAATTATTTTTTAATTGATGCTTCTCTGGTTTCAGGCAGCTCTGGTGGAATCTGTGAGAAGAATAAGCAGTACTCTGATGGGAAGAGGAAGTCTCTGAACACTGGCATCATCACCGTGCAAAACTATGCTTCACACGTTCCCCCTAAAGTCTCCCACATCACCTTCGCTCATGAGGTCGGACATAACTTCGGCTCTCCGGTGAGTCCTTCTCAATTCATGTGCAGCATACTTGACAGATTAGCAATAGAAACACCCCTCAGCTGAATCCTTTATGAACAAATTAATTTTACTCTCTAAAGCTCTAAGAATAAAGCATCCATTACAGTACTGCCTTTGAGACCTTTAAATTGTCAGATTCATCTAGCTAGTCTTTTGTAGTAACCTGACCTCGCATTTTCTCAATCCAGTGTAAATTGTTTCAGTTTAAAAGCAATTGCTAAGAATTGGCCCATGGCCCACTGAAAAATAGTGGTGGGAATTTTCAGGCTAGTTTTATTGTAGTTGCAGGCCAATTAGCATCTCGTTTCTGCCAAATACGTATAGTTCAGTTGCAAAGAGAATAGTTTTAGAATACTTATAATTAGTTAATTTCGTTTATAAAGCACTTTTCCCACACTCAAAATGTTTTTACTGAGATTCATAGGGATATCTGCTCTCTCAGTATGGTCTGTTCAGGTGGTCAGCTAGAAAACCAGCTGAACATTAGTTTGGCCAGGCTCCTTAAACCAGCTTAGGACCAACAAACACAGAGGACCTTTTTTTAGTGTCCAGTCCCCTTCATTGTAATGGTGCAAAATGTGCATTACTTGCATAGATTGCAGAGAGAGCACCCCCTTCTGGCCCTAGTAACACCTTCAAAAGCAACCTTAGTTTTTCTGAACTTCATTCTGGTACTGACCAGGTTTCCAACCCTTCTTACGTAGCTTCAGGCAAACGCTGCAGGGCAATAGCTGCTAGGATAGTGAATATTTCAAATGTGTCTGTACGCTGATTACACCGGTCTTCTTTCTCTGTCTTCCAGCATGACTCAGGAAGTGATTGCTCTCCGGGAGAGTCTAAGACTCAGGACCAGAAAGAAAGAGGCAACTACATCATGTATGCAAGAGCCACATCAGGAGACAAGTTCAACAACAACAAGTTCTCCATCTGCAGCATTCGCAACATCAGCCAAGTGCTAGATAAGAAGAGATTCCTCTGCTTTGTTGGTGAGATTTTAACCTCATACGAGAATTCACTGTAAAAAAAAAAATTTTACTGGTAATTTTCTGCCAGGATATCATCTAGTAGATTTATGGACAGTTTCTAAAACACAATGCAATGAAGTGTAAAATTACAGATAAAACACCTGTAAAAAATAAATGCAGAAAATTCTTTCATATTAATACAGTACATTGTGCACTATTTTTACTGATTTTTGTATGTCACATGATTGTGTGGAGTCGTGTTTAAGGCTCTCGGCTGGAGCGAGACATGAGCTATGACGGCGGTGGCCTTGAGTGAGGCACTTAACCTCAGATCGCTCTGGGAGGATTGTCATTGTAATGAGCTCATGGCGCCGTTCTGTAGAAATGTTTCATCAAAGTCTCAAAAAACTGATTCCTCCAGCCCTGATCAGGTGGCAGACTTCTTTTTTTAGTCTCCCTTTCTCTCTCTCACTGTCTTGTTCTTTTCCAGAATCAGGACAGCCCATCTGTGGTAATGGTTTGGTTGAGGTTAATGAAGAGTGTGACTGTGGCTATAGCGATCAATGCAAGGACAAGTGCTGCTATGATGCCAATGCGCCAGAGGCACTGAAGTGTAAACTGAAGCCAAACGTTAAATGCAGGTGCGCAAGAAGAACTTTAACAGTCTGTTTAATCTGTATCATTAGCAGTAATTTCTTATTACGTTAACACTTATTTCATTAAGTGCAATAAAGTGTTAATTTTTTCTTGTACTTTTCTCTTGCAGTCCCAGTCAGGGTCCATGCTGCATGTCAGAGTGCACGTTTAAGTCCAGCAATGTGAAATGCAGGGAGGTGTCTGAGTGTGCTCTTCAGGGCATGTGCAATGGAAACTCTGCCCAGTGCCCCACCTCAACGCCTAAAGAAAACTTTACATCCTGCCATGCAAATACCCAAGTCTGCCTTAATGGGGTAGGTGCTGCATCATGAGCTGTGTGCTCATTCTGTACATGTTTTCTGTCCCTTGGAATTGACAATGCTATAAAAAGTCTCAATGTCAAGAATTTAATGTCAAAGTATAAACTAACACTTATTTCATTAAGTGCAATAAAGTGTTAATTTGTTCTTGTACGTTTCTCTTGCAGTCCCAGTCAGGGTCCATGCTGCACGTCAGAGTGCACCTTTAAGTCCAGCAATGTGAAATGCAGGGAGGTGTCTGAGTGTGCTCTTCAGGGCATGTGCAATGGAAACTCTGCCCAGTGCCCCACCTCAACGCCTAAAGAAAACTTTACATCCTGCCATGCAAATACCCAAGTCTGCCTTAATGGGGTAGGTGCTGCATCATGAGCTGTGTGCTCATTCTGTACATGTTTTCTGTCCCTTGGAATTGACAATGCTATAAAAAGTCTCAATGTCAAGAATTTAATGTCAAAGTATAAACAGATTTTGCATTTAATAACTGTAATACAATTTGACCTATTTGTTTTCACGTTGGCATGAAAAAATATTTTCATGTTGGCCCAAATGCATACACATGAAGACTTCCAAGCATTGAATATTTCTCACTGTATATGTGCATATGTGTGTGTAATAGTTGTCTTTGTTTTGAGGACATTTTGTCTGAGAATTCTTTCTCTTTCAGGTTTGCTCTGGCTCTATCTGTCAGAAGTATGGTCTAGATGTTTGCACTTGTGCCACTGAGGAGGGGAAAGACGACACAGAGCTGTGTCATGTGTGCTGTATGAAGAAGGGTGAGTAACACTGACCGATTTCTCAAGCATGCAGTCCAGACCCCAACAAATAAATTTTTTTAATTGTCATAAAACATGTAAAGTAATTCCAAAGAAATATATATTTTAAATATGTATTTAACAAATTTTACTAATCCCATTGTTTCTTGTTTGTCTTTGTAGGTCAGCCCAACACTTGCAGCAGCACTAGCTCAGATACATGGGCTAATTACTTTAACAAACAGGTCACCACGTTACAGCCTGGCTCTCCTTGTAATGACTTCAAAGGTTACTGTGATGTCTTCATGAAGTGTAGGCTGGTGGATGCTGATGGCCCTCTGGCAAGGCTTAAGAAGGCCATTTTCAACCCTGAGCTTTACTCGAGCATTGCAGAGTGGATAGTGGCAAGTGTCTCATTTATGTAATCCCTAAATACTTGTTCCCTGCATTTGTTTGCGGCTTTAATCGCTATGAAAGACCATGAGAAGTGATACTTCACTCAGCAATATTCTTTATTACTTGCAGTGCTCATCTCATTTTAATATTTGTGTTTCAGGAGCATTGGTGGGCAGTTCTTCTAATGGGCATTGCTCTCATCATGCTAATGGCTGGGTTCATCAAGATCTGCAGTGTGCACACACCTAGCAGCAACCCTAAATTACCCCCACCTAGACCACTGCCAGGTAATGTACCCCAAATGATCCCTGTCTAAATCATCACCCGGTCATAAGTGGCTCAGACTTCCCTACCAAACCACAGCCAGGAATATATCCCACATGACCACTAACATACAGCTCGTCTGTATACTATTATTACACATAATTGTTACATAATTCATTAGCAGATAAATGCATTTAAAATTCAGTATATCTTTTCCAAGAAAAACAGGCCAGACTTGATTTTTGTCCAATCAAATGCTCTGTAGAATAGGAATGTTCCTCCCTCTTGTTACATACTTCAGTTTTGATGGGAATGTTTAGTGTATGCATACAGCAAATGTATATTCTTTCAAAGTATACTCCATTTCATAGAATGCACTAACGCAGGTGCTCAACACGTATGCTGGGAAGTTGAATCCTTGTACAGTATCTGTGCCATTTTTCTCCAGACATTATGAGCAATAAAAATATCATTGTTTTTGTTTAAACTACCAATACGATACCTTTACTTAGTTCCTGAACTATACTTCTGCCGAATACATAGTTCCTGATCTATACTTTTTTCGATACCAATATTATGAAATCCATTTTAACAAGATTACTTTACACATTACTTCAAAAAACAACCCTAATCCTATTATGAATGCCCTTTACATTTCCGCATTCAGTTCTGTACATAAGTGTGACGAGTGGGGGCGGGGCCGAGAGCCGTGGGAACGGAGCGAGGCCGGTGGAGTAATTGATAATGAGCGACACCTGCACCACTCACCGGTCTCGAGTCTCACGGAGGAGCTCCGGAAGGATAAAAGGAGGAGCTACGAAGGTGTCGCTCATTATCAATTACATCACCTGCCTCGCTCCGTTCCCACGGCTCTCGGCCCCGCCCCCACTCGTCACAATAAGAAACCCAGAAAAACATTTCTAAGAATGACACATGAAGCTAATAAACACACAATTATGAAATTATATGATTTGTATGTGATTTTTATGAGATTCTGCCTAATTTACATAATGCAGGGTGTTTACATAAGAAATGCTAAGCAGGTGTAGCGATTAGCTTGATGTAAAATAACATTTCAGCAAAATTATATGGGCAAAACACACATGAGATTACAATTACAAACAGTCGATTGTGGTTTAAAGTGAGTTTTGAGTAAAAGTGTAGTATAAATCTTATAAATTGTCTTATGTAGCATTATGCTACAGTGTGCAAAAATAGTTACGCAACATGCATTCAGTCGTGTAGTGTGGACAGAGATCTTTTCTGAAACGCAGTGGAAACGCCAGTATGAATGAAAACGCACTAGTGTTAACGTAGCATTGCATCTATGGGGGTTGGGACACGTAACCGGCGTAAACTAGTGTTTTTCCTTGATGCCTCAATCACCAGCACTTGATTTAGGTACATCAAGCATGCTGCATGCTTATTGGCTCACTGATATTGATGGGGTTAACCCATTTAGGTATCAAAATTTGGTACCAAACGACAAAACATTTTTCGATGCTTGATGGTATCGAAGCAATTCAGTCGATGCCTAAAAAGTATTACCTAACTCAATACCCTACTTCAACCCCTCACATAAGCGCTTGTCAATGGGCAAAGTGAATGTGAAACAACGGGCAGAGGCAGTTGCCATCTTTTGGACAAGGCGTGAACTATGCTGTTGACATTTACGCAGTGTCCACTGTACGCATACCCTAGCGTACATGTAAAAACTGAAGTATACTTTAGGCTTAAGCCAGAGTTTTAGTCCAGAGTACAACCTTAAAACAATCACTCAAACATCCGTTTTTTTTTTCTGTAGTCAAAAACTATTTAAAGCGCAGAACATTTTATATTTTGGAATATTTTCACTTTACCCCAGTCCGAAAAACACATTTAATGTTTATTAGAGTAGTGGACTCTGGTAGAGGCGATATTCGGCGAGGTCACGTCACTGAATTTGAAGAATTGCGTTAACTTCAAAACCCTAGTTTAACCCCTGCACCTCAAGTGATTAATCATACCTGTATGTGTTATTGTTTAGGCACACTGAAGAGGAGAAGAAATCCCGCTGCACAGACCCAGCCGCAGCGCCATCGCCAGCAGAGAGAGAACTATCAGATGGGCCAGATGCGACGCTGAGACAGCCTCCTCATTGCCTTGGTTCTTCCTAGTGCCTACAGTGGGAAACACTTCACTCCAAAGAGTTAGCTGAGTCAATCAATGAGCCCCATCTACAAACTAAGAAACTGGCAAATAAAAGGACTTCAAAGGACTATACTTAAGAAAACAACCGTTTTAAAGAGTAAGAAACCACTGCTCTGGGAGCCAGCAAAGCTTTCGTTGCATAGCTCAGAGAAAAATTCAGAAGCTAGTCATGAGGAAGAGGACAGAATTAATGATTTTTGTTCTGTTTTTTTCTGCTTTTCATATTCTTTCTCAAGTGATTAAACCATTTTTTCCCCTTTTTTGCCTTTTTATCCCTTTTTTTTTGGATTGCCACCCTCCTGTGGAGATGAGCATGATGGGATATCACATAGATATTTCTGCCTATCAACAATGGCTGAGAGAACTCTTTAAAAAGGCTCGTTTTCCAATATGTAATTAAGATGTTTTTAAAATGCAAGCAAAAGGATTAAAAAGCTTTTATTTCTGAAGCTTTCTCATTGTCTCCTGCGTGCAATTGTACAGAGATCTCAAAATACATCAGATCTTTTTCAGTCATGTCATTTTTTCTATTCTGTTGGATAATGATAATTAAGGATGTTTAACTGACACTCAGGATATAATAGGAAATAACAGCACAGAGAGTTTCTATTGGTGAAAGGCCTTTACCAGATTCACTTTGCTGAAAGACACATTTGTGCAGAGCACTTTTTTTTTTCCCTCCCCAGCTGATAACCACTAAATAGCTGCAGTTCTTCATTCCATGTGGGCGAGGGAGTTAATGAGAAGGATGATGGTTAAAAAAAGCTGTCACTCCTGATCTGCTGAGAGTCACTGTTACTTTATGTTCAGCCGATAACACTGGTCCCCGCAGGAGACAGACTTGAGAAGAGAAGCACAACATCAGGAAATATTTGGTTTTTCAATACATAAAAGGTTTTTATTTTGCAATAAGATGTTGGAAACAGGAAAGTGTGGACAGTTACACAAATGAGTAAATCTCAGTGGTGTGCATTAGTGAAAGGATGGGATAGAGAGAGAGAGAGAGAGAGATGATAAAAGCAATCTAGATTCTTTAGTGTTTTACACACCAATCAATATTTATACAAAGCAACTTTTCTTAAGAGATTTCAGTCATTACCTCTTTTAATAGCTAAAAAAACAAAAGATCCAGACTAGCAGCCTATATAATCAATACATATATGCCTTGTGTTGCTATATAGTGTATCTGAACCAGCCCATGGTAACTACACTACTATCACTGCAGTCCAACATCCTTTTTTTAAAGAAACCCTTCCATTCTCTCTAAATGTCTCTTGATTGTCTTCTGTGTGTGTGTCTCAACAAAGGCAAAGGGTTACAAATGATTCATGCATCACAGATGTCCTTTTTTAAAGTTTTCTTTTGTGCTTTTTTGTATTTCAACAGACCAGGAATATTTTGTCATCTATTTAAGTTTGTTGAATGGGATCCTGGTAGTGTGACTGGGAAGTCCGATGTTTCTAAAGTCTGTCTTCTCAAACAACCTTGCATCCTTTAAGGATGTGCATTTAAAACATGCTATGATTTGCTTATTTCTAGAAGATGAGTATTGCTGACTATAAGTCCTCCCTTAGATCTAAATCATCACCTCATTTGTGGATGTCTCTGTACATGTTAATGGGAAATGGGTTTTTAGCGAGCTTGACTTTACTGTTCTGACTGCAATTGGCTTCAAATTAATAATTTTTGTGTTATTCTGTGGTAAATGGGTTTGGTTGAATTTGTAAGGGGATTTGGCCTAGGATTTAATTTTAAAAAAATATTTTTTGCTCGTCTTGCTTTAAGTTTATAAATAATGTGCACTGATATGGAAGCATGGTGTGGATAGAATATGAAAAAGAAGATGGAGAAAATGTCTAATACTACTGTTTGATTTTAATGTCCGCTGTGTTTTATACAGTATCCTTCTTTTCTTTTTTTTGCTTTATTTGTAGTTTTTTTCTCTCTTCTCTTTTGCGCTCACTTTTGAACATTTTTACTAAATACTTTGCAAAAAGTATTGTGCAACGACATGTAATTTTTTGAAGTACTTGAAATGCATTAATAAAATAGCCTTGATCAAAAGCTCCTTTCACTGTCTGGTAAAATATGTCTATGTGTTGACGTAAATTGTATTAATTGCCTGTATGCTCTACAAATTTACACTAATGCATGTTTTTTTTGTTTTTTTTTATTACTTTACTGCATATTGTAACAGTATATTTCAAGAGCGCCGCTGAAGTATTCAACAAGCCATCACAGTATAGAAATCATTCATTCATGTTATATTTAAGTTGAATTGAGTCGCACTTTTCACAAATCATTTTCTCATAAACTGAACATTTTTGTTATCAACCTCTCACCCTCTTGTTGCACAACTTGTGTAGTTATGTCAAATCTCTTGTATACAATCATTTGTTGCCAAGTTCAGTTGCAATTTTACAGAGGAGAGTGATGTATCCTGTGTCTACTTTTTACTTTATCCAGGGATGGACTGGCTATAAGTTATCCTATAAGTGAGCAAAAATAACATTGAGTTAAAAAACTAATATGACAATATATTTCAGGATGTGTGCTAATTAAAAGAAAGCATCTTTAATGTAGTGCCAATAGTAGGGCAAATAAATAAATAAATATGCATTATGTATGTTACCTCCCTGTTTTTATTCCTATGCATTATCATAGGGGATTTCATGAGACAATTATTCAGACAATTAAAACACATTGGACACACCACATAAAGAAACATTTTATTACAGGCTGATCTACTTTGAAGATAATCTCTTGTATACAATCATTTGTTGCCAAGTTCAGTTGCAATTTTACAGAGGAGAGTGATGTATCCTGTGTCTACTTTTTACTTTATCCAGGGATGGACTGGCTATAAGTTATCCTATAAGTGAGCAAAAATAACATTGAGTTAAAAAACTAATATGACAATATATTTCAGGATGTGTGCTAATTAAAAGAAAGCATCTTTAATGTAGTGCCAATAGTAGGGCAAATAAATAAATAAATATGCATTATGTATGTTACCTCCCTGTTTTTATTCCTATGCATTATCATAGGGGATTTCATGAGACAATTATTCAGACAATTAAAACACATTGGACACACCACATAAAGAAACATTTTATTACAGGCTGATCTACTTTGAAGATATCTACAACACACAAATGCACAGATGTTTGCTTGGAGGTTGAGCTCATTTTATTTAATAATAAATTATCTGTAATGGGACAATATTCAGTCAGTTTTGGGAGCTTAATAAGAGTCATACTCTATTTCAGAAATAAAAAGGCAAAGATGGCAGCTCTTAACAGTGTTCAAGTGCTATATACTGTATGGTACTTCCAAAGTTGTTAGGCCTACATGATTTCTCCCCTGCAGTGCTGTCCACATCACTGGTTTCAAATGGATGAAGGGTATAGGAGACCAAAAACTCTTCCGAGCCAATTAAGAAGGTGCCATTTTCACACAATTAAACCTGCGCAAGGAATCATGGGAGTTAAGTGTCCATATCCTTCGAACTCCTTCATTCCAAAGGCCCCTTTTAAGTGGCCGGTTGTGAGCAGTTTGGAACGAACCCACAATATGGTGGCTACAACGATTCTCACTCTTAAGTGCCCTTCGGAATCAGATTTGAAACGCAGGGCGAGTATCAACACTAAGGGGCTGTTTACGCCTGGTCACTTCATGCGTTTTGTCTGATCGGATAGCTATCCCATCGTGAAAAGGCCAGGTGTAAATGCCCTCCGAAACGTATTCGAGACGGATATAAATCCGATCGCTCAAACCACTTCAGGAGGTGGTCTGGGCCGCATTCCAGACGAAACTGGACAAGTGTAAATGCATCTGGTTGTTGAAACCACATATGTAAATTTTACTCCTCCCAAAATGTTAAAATAATAAACGTGTGAGAGCGTGTTA